AGTCATCTACAATACACAGTGTAAGGACTGTAACAACCACTATGTAGGACAGACAGGTAGAAGGCTAGCAGAACGCATCCACGAGCACCAACTAGCAGTCATAAGACATGATGAAAACTCCTTAACACAGCACATGAACAGACGCAACCACACATGGACAGACTGGGAAACTGTGAGCATCTTAGACCAAGCTAAATCCAAAAATGTGAGGGAATTCCTGGAAGCTTGGTATTCAGACAAGGCAACCATCAACAGCACAGAGGTAGACAATATCTACACACTACTCAAAAGAGACAATAAAAAGGAAACAAAAGGCCAGAACATCTCCTTGCCAGCAATCATCATCCAGATAAGCAGAGATTACCACCAGGCATACAATCAAGCAGTAAACAATACCCTAATCAAGGAATTACCAGGAGGAAAAAATTCCCAGCATCCCCACCAACACTGGCAGGGCAAGCTACTGTATATAAACAGAGAGCAAACTCCACTCCATTCTACCACTGAAGATGTTACCTAGCTGGGTAACGAAACATTTGCAAGAAAACCACCAAGCTCAGAGAACCCCAAGGACTCCACAGTTCAACCCTGAGCTGCATATTTTCCCTTCTATTGATATTTCAAATTTGTCTAGTCCCTCAGTTTGTTTTAAATTTTCTTGAATTAAATTCTTATCTAGTTTTTTGCTGTTTACTTTGTATCTTTAAATCTTTAAATTGTTAATTAATTTTTCCCTTCTTTCTGGAATGAAGGATCACTCACCAGGTAGTTTTTCAAACTTGTTGCTTGGAAGACCTCTTTTTACTTTAAAATAGCTATATTCCAAAAAGCTTTTAGAAAGTGAGGCTTGATCTTGATGGAAGTGGGTGAACTCTTGTCTTCTCCTTATCTGGAGAGGCTCTGTTGGACTGGAATTGTTGCCAGTCTATCGGTCTTGGCCACAGCGTTGTCTCCACTCCTTTGGAGATGCCTTAGCTTGTGATCCCTCACTCAGAATCCCTTGGTTGCCTGCCTTTCTCAGGCAGAAGAAAGACTGGCAGTTTCCTGTGTTTTTCTCTGGTAGAACAGTCTATAATGAAGTTTGGCATTTTCCCCCTCAGTTATTTAATTCAACTCAGAAATCACTGTATTTATGTTCATTTATTTAATTTACATACACCCATTTATTAATTTTATTATAATGTTTTATTACTATTTATTTTATGGTGTTAACTTTATGATTATTTTGTTTTTTTAACTGTTGAAGCCCCCTTAAAAATAGAAAGATGAGATACAAATTAAATAAATTAAAAAAGCAAAATAAAAACACAAAATCAACTGAAGAATCAGAAATGATCAGTTGTTGTTTTTTTAAATAAAACCAAACATAGCCTTAGCTAACTAATCATTACATGGTTTTTGAAAATACTTGTAAGGAAATTCATGGGACTTCACAGTTTAGTAAATCTGTATTCTTCATCACAACCCTAATATTTACAGAGGTAGTTAGAATTCCTGAGGAGGGAAATTCTGACTGATTCCTTGGTGGAATGGTTAATGTGATCCAATGTCTTCTGGGCAAGGGGAGAGAGTCTTGAGTTAAGGATTGTTGAGTTGGGACCTCTGGAATGTGTTTAAGTCTTGAAACCTGCAATCTCTGAAAGGCTGACCCTTGCTTATAATATGTGAGGGTTGAATGAAAAGTAATACATCTACCTTCATAAATTTAATTTTAATAGAGATATTTTAATAAGTAAACCAGAAAATAATCCTTGAAACTAGATCTTTTTTTAACCTGTATTTACTTGTGGACCATTTGCTTCACACTTCTGCCAGTGATGGACAAACTTCTTAAAGCCATTATGAAAGAACTCCACACTATCTCTTCAATCAGGTCCTGACAGGCCTTTTCATCTCTTCATTTGAATCAAACAGATGTGTTCAAAGGTATTCAATTTTGGGAAAAGGTAGAAGTTGAATGGCGCCAAGTATGATACTTAGAGAAAGGTGGTGAGATCCATCTTTGCAACTGCCCCTTGGGCGGCTCATGAATTGGAAGGTATAGAGTCAAGTTGTACCAAAATTTCTTTCTTATGCTTCCAAACTGGTTAATCATTATTTCAAAGTTTTAAATTGCAGTGTAGTACTCTGAGTTGATAGTGGAGCCAGGTTCAAGGAAATTCATGTGAATTACACCATCTATATTCCCCAAAACTGTAAGTGCAAATTTTCCTGCCAAAAAGTGGGTGTTGATTTTTTTCCCCACAGGTAAAGCTTTGTGATAGTATCCCATAACTTACACTTTGTTTCTGGGTCATAATGATGAACACACGTTTTGTTGGCTGTCACGTTGCTGTGAAGAAATTCCTTACTTTCATTCTTATGTGACAAAATTGGTGACAAATTTCTTGAAGCTTTAATCTTTGCTGAGAGCATGTGAGGAACCCATCTTGCACAAACCTTCTGATATTGAAGAATGCCAATAATGTAACCGACACATTCCTACAAAATGCCAGCCTTGACAGCAGTTACCCTTTGAGTGATCTGATGATATTCTTAGTTCAACAGCCTTTCTCATGTGAAACTTGTCAGGTGCTGTCACAGGTCATACACAAATTAGCTCCTCTTGGTTCACCATCTTTACAGTGACACACAGTATTCACAACAGCACAGTCATCCCCATTAACCACTTGAATTCAGCAATGAACTCCAATTGAAGGACTGCTTTGGCAATCAAAAATTCAATCATAGCACATTGCTTAAATGTGGATGCTAATCAGAATTCTTTGCAGCCTTGGAAGCAGCATATTTAACAATTCCTCACTACAGTGTCTCCAGAAAGTCAAAGACCTAAAAATAGAAGATGAAATTATAGCTTCATTCAATGTCACAGCACTCTTTATGTCCACAGATCCAGAACAGGGAAAGAACACATTACAGCAATACTACATAACACCCAAGCTAGCCAAATACACCAAGATTGAAATACCCAGACTCATGGATCTCATCAACCTCTGCTTCACTACCTACTTTTCATTTTGATGAATAAATCAGAAGAATACCCATGGGATCACCACTCTCAGAACTCATAGCAGAGGCCGTAACGCAGCATCTAGAAACTATGGCATTCCTACACATACAACCAAAAGTATGGATCTGCCTTATTAGATGACACCTTTGCCATGATAAAAAAGGAACAACTAGAAAAGACACATGAGGCAATCAACATCTTCAAAGAAATAACATTCACAAGAGAAGAAGGAAACAACAACACACTATCCTGGATATTCTTATCAGCAGAGGAAACGATGGCAAATTAGAAATGCAAGTCTATCAAAAAACAACCCACACTAACCAAGTTCTCCATTACCAAAGTACGGCGCCAACCAAACTTCCCACAAGAGGAGGTGTGTAAGAACATTATCCAGATTACCATAAATGCACTGCAGCAACCTGGGACACCAGAAAAAGGAAATGGACTGCCTATACAACATCTTCCAACAAAATGGATACCCACGCAACTTTATCAAAAAATGCCTGAGCACTCAGCCCACTACAGCAAAACCAGCACAAGCTGTGTAAACACTACTATATGTCAAAAACATCTCAGAAACAGCCAACAGACTGTTACAGCCACACGGCATCACTGTAGCACCAAACCATCTAAAGCCCTCCAAAACAGCTTAAACAAACCAAAAGACCAAGAAGCAAAAACAAGAGTCATCTACAACATACAGTGTAAGGACTGTAACAACCACTATGTAGGACAGACAGGCAGAAGGCTAGCAGAGCGCATCCATGAACACCAACTAGCAGTCAGAAGACACAGTGAAAACTCCTTAATCTCACAGCATATGGACAGACTCAACCACAGTTTCAATTGGTAAAGTGTTAGCATTTTAGACCAAGCCAAATCCAAAAATGCTAGGAAGCTTGGCATTCAGATGAATCAACCATCAAAAGATACATAGAGATAAACCATATTCACATGCCATTCAAAAGAGACAATAAAAAAGCTAAGCAAGAAACAAAAAGACCAGAACTCATCCCCTCCAGCAGCCAACACCCAGATAAGCAGGGATTAACACCAGGTAAACAATCATGCAGAAAACTATACCCTAATCAAGGAACTATCAAGGAGAAAACCACACCCCCACTAAAACTGGCAGGGCAAGCTACTGTATATAAACGGCGCAAACCTCACAGTTACGTGCACTGATGATGTTTTGTAATGAAACGTCTGCAAGCAAACAACCACGCTCAGAGAGCACATAGAGCTCGCATTGCTTACAGTGCACTGACAAGTACCCATGGCAGGCTTCCATATAACAATAGCAACATAATCTTTTCTCACAGCAACTTCCCACAATCAGTATTGCCATCTGTTGGCAACTGACAACATTGGAGGCATTACATTTTATTCAACCCTTGTATTATGTTATAATTGTGGTAATAAGAACATCCATGGTGTTTCACAGATTCCATCTGTAATTCTTTGCATCAGACCCTACACTATTTCTGAGGGTTCTGAAAGCTCTCGAGGGCACGTTTTTAGAGTACTATAGAGGAAAGTAGGAATTTCCAAAATGGCCATCTCCTCAACTCTGATGGGAAGATATGAACTAGATATGAACATATCTAGTGCTCTTAGCAACATTTCAATAGAAATTGGAATAGGTATGAATTAATTACTATTAAAAATATAAAATATGATTTGATTTCAAGGCAACTAATTTCTTGATTAAGCTCGTTTCACTGATGCATACAGTCTTTTCAGTTCCTTAGGTTCTTTTTCAATATCGTGAATTTGCATACATGGATAAAAGATGAATGGAGTCAAATATATGATTCAGTTTATGTAAATGAAAACTGGATTGAACCATTGCAAAGGTAAGTAATAGAGCAATTCTAGACATGCTTATTCAGAAGTAATTCCCAATTCATTGTTAGGGCATATTCCCAAGAAATGTGCATGATGTTGCTGTTTAAATGGAACTGCATCTTAAGTGATACTGTTCATTTGAAAGGGTTCTTACTGAGATTGGCACTGTAGTCTCTTCCGTGTAAATTCTGTCATGTATGTTCAACAAAACAGTATACAGTATTTCAATTATATTAACTAATTTGGAGCTCATTGAAAAAAGCTGTACTTGTTAATAAACTCTAGTACACTGCTTCAAATGTTCATGAGTGCTTTATTGAGATATATCTCAAATAGGCTACAGGTAGTCTTCAACTTACGATCATTCGTTCAGCGACCATTCAAAGTTACAGCCCCTGAGCTGTGGGATGCCAAAAAGCCCCTTTGCGCCACGCTCCTGAGTGGGGTAGGGCTGGCTTCACACTGTGGGGGGAAAAAAGGCAGAAAGCAGCCTTAGAGCTTTGGCATGCTGCAGCTCTGGGACTGCTTTCTGCTGCTTCCTTTTTTTTTTTTTGCAGCATGAAGCCCCGCCCTAGCCTGGCCCAGCATTCAGGCCAGGCCCACCTATTCAGCAGGAGCAAGAAGACTCAGCTGGGGTAGCAGAGCACAGGGCAGCAGGGTAGTGAGAGTGACTGCGGCTGGGGCTGGGCTGGGGCAGCTGCGGCTTCTGGGCATGGCAAGCAGCCCCAGATCCGTGTGGTTCTGGGACTGCTTGCCACCCCACAAGGCAGTACGCATGGCGGCCAAAAGGGCAGAGATGGGGGGGAAATAGGTGGGTGGGAGGAGTTAGAGGCAGTCTCTTACCTTACTGAAGCTCAGGGCTGGGAGGGATCAAGCCTGGAATGGCTTGGATTGGGATGACTCACTTAATGACCCGCCATTCTCAGTTAATTGGGATTGCTGTCACTAAGTGATACAGTCGTGTGATACCTCGCTTTATGACCACATCACTTAGCGACAGAAATTGTACTACCAATTGTTGTAAGTTGAGGACTACCGCATAAGACTAAAATCCACTGTTTGATGACTAAATTGACAAATTAGCTGTTTCAGTTCACCCTGAGTCTTCTCTTTCACTGAACTCATCCTGTAACCACTACCCTTGAGGTTATTTGATAGTTGAAATCAGAAGTATTTCATTTTCAAGCTATATTCATAATGGTAAGATTAGTGTACCATAAGCTCTTGATTCAGGATTTCTTCTGTCTTTTTGCAACCCCCTTTCTTTTCTAATGGAGGGGACAGCAAATCGCAGCAAAATGTGGTGAGCTATGTGCTTTTCTTCAACATCACCCAAAGTTCAGATGCTATGTATCCATAGCTACAATTCTGCCTACTGGCTGCCATCATGGCTTTCATAGCATATTCTTCTATTTAGTTTAGTTAAACATATATTTAAGACTCAAGTTAATATTCAATCCATTTGATAGTAGCTGGAATAAGCATTGCTAGTATGTTATCTGTTTTTGCTAATTGTTTTCTTTTAGGCAGTTAATAGTTTATCAGTAATACTATAAAATATACAGAAAACAGAGCGCCACAAAATAGAAGCAAATAAAATCAGGAGCTGCAAGAACCGTTTTATTGATTCAGATATTACACATCTCAGTTCCCATGCATTTCTAGCTGGACTTCAAGGGATTGTACATGAAGATAGACAGACAGACAGACTGTAATATTTATCAGGAAAAATGAGATTTTTTTTTCCTTCTAGAAGAAAATGATTTCTTCTGAAATGAATAAATCATGCAATTAATTTAGAATAAATATTATGAGCAAACCCCAAATTATGTAATCAAAGCAAAAAAAGATATGGAAGTTCATGTTCAGTAAGGACTAAGTCCAGCTGTGATCAGTAGGAGGTACTCTCAGTACATATCATTGCAGCTTCAGAAATTACAGAAAAAATGGCTAAAATAAAATGAATATAGTATAAACCAGATTTTCCCAAAAGTGGCCAAAGCAGTAACTGTTACATGTCTATCCAAAAGCAAAGTGATC